TTCACAGAAATGACTTCCTTTACTCCTCTCTCAAACCATCGTTCCTCTCTATCAAGGATGAGAACATCTTCATTCCTGAAAGAGTGACCGCTGGCCTGTAGATGAGTGTAAACTGCAGAGTCCTGACCTGACGACGTGGCTCGTCTGTGCTGGCTCATTCTTTTGAACAGTGGCTGTTTTGTTTCCCCAATGTTTAACTGATCACAGAAGAACCCATCCAGAGGACCTATTTATTTTTTCTTTTTGATTTTTTTTTCTACCTGGATTACTGAGGTGCATCAGGAAAGTTTTTGCAAACATTTCACCTCTCTTCCAAAAGGCTTCTTCAGTTCTGGGGACTGAAGGGAGGGGGAGTTCAAGACTGGAYTTAAGACCTTCACACAGAGTCACTGCAGTCACCTGTCTCTTACATGATGTGGTCAAATAGGTGAACAGGTCTGCGTCTGAAGCTGGGAAACATTCTGAAACTGATTCTAGAGTTAGACAGGCGATACGTGAGTCCAACTTTTTTGTTGCTGTCCTCAAAAATGACCCATTCCCTTCAGAGGTAAGTTTTTTTTACAAACTTTCACTTAGATCCACTTTTTCAATTTACTTAAAAATCTAACACTATTCTTATTTTGCTTCCACATAAACTGGATTTCCATTGGAGAGATGCTGGCGTAGATTCTCAGTCATCCAGGACCTGGCAAATCATAAAAAACYGTTCTGTTCTGTAGTTCAGGTAAAACTCAGATTAATCTCACTCTCCTCACACCTGAAGGTCATTAGGGTTTGTGTTTGTCTGGCTAAGACAGATGTTTTTGTCACACAYGAAGGTGTGAGTTAAAGAGAAAATGACTGGATATCAGGTTTAAAACTCTGTTTTAAATTTAGAAAATGAGTTGGTAACAGAGCTGAAACAGGTAAATAAACTTTTGAGTAATGTGATAAAGTGATGATCTGCGCATGATTAACCAACAGCAGATCGATGATGATGATGAGCAACTTTGTATTTAGTTTAAAGCGAAGTTAAGATATTAACTTGTGTTTAGGAGCAGGACCACGCCTCTCACCTTCAGCTAATCAGTCAGTGTCTATAAACTCTCCTCACCTGGTGTTCTGCCCCCAGCTCGCTGTCTCGACACCCACCCTCCCCTTTTGCCCCATTTAGGCCCCTTTGCACGCCCTCATCGTGCCACCTTCCTCACCCCCTTCATCCCTTCCTCATTCCTCCACTCCTTCTTCCCCTCCCCACACAACTTCATCCCTACCTCATCGCTTCATCCCTCCATCTCCACTTCTTTCTTTCTCCTCCATCCCTACCTCAAACTACCTCCTAATCCGTTCTTTTTCTCCTTCGATGTACCTCCCCAGGCGCCTCATCATTCATCCCACTACCCTTTGACC